AGAAAAGAAAAAGGCTTATAGGTCTCCTCAAAGCCAACAACTTCACAGTGAGGGACTCACTCACATGCACTTACATGCACGCGCGACCAGATCAGCTACCAAGCTGCTGACCCCGTTTTTCGTTTTTAAACTCCGGGTTGCGTTTAAGTGCGGACGGGCAAAAATGGAAGACTTTAGAAATGATGAAGCAGACATTCACGTTTGGCTCTCTGGGTCTTATAAGTCATGCAAAGCAGACACAAGGTGCTACTGACTGAGTTTTTGACTTGGTATTTTTATTCAAATATTTTGCACCACGCAAATAACACTTACATCCTACACTTTGTACTGTGACTTGACTCCCAGTCTGTTTTCCGCCGCCACAGCCACTTTAAACTCCTGTGTTATATTCAGTAAGACTTCCAGTTCGTTATTGGTCCATGCAAAATAAAATCTGGTGCGGTTCTTCGTCTGCATTACTTTCTTCTTTCGCCAAATCTTCTGTAACTACAGAATAGACCATCTGCTTCATGTTTACACCGGCACATACAATAATACAATAATAAAATCAGACACAGGCTACAGTGTGCAGAACACATACATACACACTATAAACAAAAACAATATAGACAGATTGACAGAGTAAATTATTATTATCAGGATGTACATATGTGGTGGTGGCACAATGGATAAGACTTTGCCTTTGGTGTGAGAGACCTGGGTTCAATCCCCCACTGTGACCCATCCACCATTGTGTCCCTGAGCAAGACACTTAATTTCTACACTTCCTAATTGCTCTGACATAAATAGCTTTGGATGAATAAATGTCAGAGGTGGATGTGATGTAGGCTACACAGAGGCAGCCGTCTGCGGGGGCATCTTGGTTGATGGAGCATGGTAAGAGTGCCATTTTGATGTAATGTTTTCAGAACAGTTAGCTAAAAGCAGTTTTAAAGTAAGTAGTTTATTAACTAAAACATAAGAACACAATTTTCAAACACGTTATGCTAGTTTTAAAGCTCATTTGAAACAGTTTTTAATACCAGTAACAATATTTACCAGTGTAATAATCTCTTGCTGTAATTTTGTTCAGGGTATATTTTTATTTCTCTGTAAAAAGAGCAGAGGACAAGTAACTCTAAGTAATCGTGTGTTCTGACACCACTTAGTCATCTCTGAGACGTCTGTTGATGATTTCAAAACACTTGAACCGCGTGGCACACACTCCGCCGTTCTCCGTGAAAAAACCGACTTGACAGCTTGACAGAATCACTAGAAACAGTTAAGGAGGCAGAATGGATGCTCTTAACCTCCCACAGCTTTTATAGGCATCTCAAGCAGCTACGTACACCCACACAGAGTGCACACGCACACACACACACATACAGAGGCATACACTGACATTAACACAAGCTCCTCAAACACACTGAGAGGCGTTGTCGAGGGAAGTTTTCCAAAAGCGTTTTCAATCTCTTGTACATCTGTAAATACACACAAATGCTTGTATACATAAGCATATAAAATCACACATTCAGATACTGTAAACAATCATGCAAACTCTTGATATGTATTCTCACTGGTTTCCCCTCATAAATTGGACCTTTCAAGGCATTTTTCAACATTTTGGTAAATATCTTTATCAGTCATGTATGTTACAATCTCTTTATGATTTTTTATTTGATTTTTTATTATCTATCCTGTACACACAAGATCTATTACGTGTCTGTCCGTCAATTAGGAGCGATCCCTTCTCTGTTGCTCTTCCGGGAAGTGGACAGTAAATTCTGCTATTTGTGATTTTAGAGGAGAAAAATGTGAAACCAAAGGAGCATGCCGGGGGTTGCGAATGTTTCGTGTTTTGCATGCATTCCTACTCTTCCAGGGAGCCTGAGGTTTCAGTTCATTAGTAGTACTGCAAACACTCGCTTATAGTACAGTCAAGGACCAATGAGTCAGCTGAATGGAAACCTTTCAACAACAACAATTATACTTTATTGATATAGCAGCTTTCTAACCGGAGTTGCAAACTGCTTTACAGTAAAGCCACAGATGAAAACAAAGAAAAAACTGTAAAATATATTCTAAAATAATAAACATACACAAAAACAGTACTCATCGAACTTTCCCTAACACAAAATAAGGAAATAAACAAGGTTAACTATGGGGTAAAATAGGCCAAGTTCAAAAGGTACTAAATTCCTTGGCAGCCCTACGCCCCAACAACAACCTTTTTAATGCAAAAAGTAATGACAATGAGACCAATAATACTGTACCAAATGTTTTTTTGTGATCAGGGCAAACAAACTCTTTAAAAGATACAACTGAAATGATCAGCTTCATAATGTATGCTTTTAGATTTGTGTGTGCATGCTGTGAGTGCTTTTAGAAGAAGTTAGAAGCTGTAAAATGTCCTTACTTCTGAGGATTTTCTTCATATTTCTGTCCTTTTAAGAGCTAAGATCTAAGAGCATTTTGGCTTTCATGCATTTGATGCATCAAATGATGATCAACTCACACCAGCCCTGTTAGCGGTAATCATCACTCTATGAGGTTTTTCCCACAGAGACCCTTTTAATGTTGTTCCTTATTAAACATATGTGCCTCCTCCAGCTTTATGTGATACACACAGCACATCAGACATCCTGCCACCACCACCTCATACTGTAAATCCACTCGGGAACCAATCACACTGAAGCCTTCCACATTTGTCCATAATGCAGGCGTCATGAAGATGGAACGGCAGCGTGGATAAGGAGTCGAAGAGATATGAGCTCTGAGACCGTCCAAACCGCGCTGTCCATCTCTGCCCTGAAACTGACAAATCTGAGGGGAAATCATGTATTGTGCTCCAGTGCAGCAACTTTCCTCATCCCATCTGGCCTCCCTCGCCACACATCGTTAGCTTCAAAGAACCTCTTCCCCCCCGTTAGCCAGAAATCACTTAAGAGGGTTGTTTCAAATTGCAAAAAAAAGCTTTTGACTGTCTCTGTTTCAAACAATGCTCAAAAGCAGGCCTTTCTTCCCGTCGAAGACGGCACATTGTGTGGGCTTTCTGTGCAGATGTCTCCGTGGAGGATGAGGAAAAGAAAGCAAAGCAATCTGAGGCAAAATGAGCAGTAGTTGGCCTGTTGAGAGACCCTGAAAATTACAAATACACACATCGACACCCACGATTCTATCACATGAAGCAACTGACAGAAACATACAATCTTATTTACCTCCCCTCCAGCCAGGAAAGCTATTATTGCTGCATACAAACATGTTTCATCTGGAACAACGTCAGTAAAATTGGTTTCATTACCTGGTCTCAAAGGCATGCTGAACACTGCATAAACTCTAATGGTCTGGCCCGACACGATTCATTATTTATTCACTACATTTGTGTATTTTTTCCCCTTGGGGAGCAACATTACACATTATCGGTCAATAATGGAATTCACACTTCGCCTTCACAGCTTGACAAGAAAAACTATTCTCTAATACTCTAATAATGTTAGTATAATAATTCAATTCTAATTCAATATATTGTGGAAATATGTTTTTTTTCACAAAACAAACCAGTCACCCGTTTAAGTATTGTGTTTTCATGTTTTAGCTGACATAATCAGAAACGGGAATAAGAGTCGACTCTGTGACGCTTTACTTTTCAGTGGCGTTTTTAGCTAAACGCTTACATTAGCGTTATTTTTCTCCATGGGAGCCAACGAGCACTTGTTAATCAAAGGCAGAGATGTCGGAAAGCTGATGGTTAAAAAAAATAACGAGTGCAAACATTCTTACAATGACAATACTAGCACGCTGATGTTTAGCAGGTGTGATTTTTCCATATTTTATTTAAAGGGGCAACATGTAGTTTACAGCGGCCACTAGCGGTGCAGTTTTAAGATTGCAACCAGGTTTGTGCTCGTAGGCGTGCTCGCTTGACCTCATGAGCGAGCAAAAACTGAAACAAAACCCGCTTTCATACAGAGATCCCGCTAGATAAAGTCAGTATCACCAAAGTCATTACAATTCATCTCGAGGAAGACGTGGATGTGCGCAGCCTTCCATATTTCATGGCAACCCATCCAGTAGTTGTGGAAGCATTTCACTCAAAATCACAAATATCAGCCTTGTGGTGGCACAACACGAAAAAGTCAGGGAATCACCAAAGTTTATAGTATTAATCCTCCGGGGACTGAATGTTTGTACAAACTGTCAAGGCAGTCCATCCAGCAGCTGTTGAAATTTCAGGGGGATAGACATACACTCACCTACAGCCACACTAATAGCATAGCTTAAAAAATAAAACACACTCATTAGGTAATTATGCTTTTAAAAAGTAGATGAAACATATTCAGGAAATAAGTTGTTCAATGTTAAGCTGTATGAGTTTGTCATTTTATTCAACTATTAAAGCCATCAGCATTGTTCAGAGAAGCTGCAGGTTACAGGACAGGCCAAAGGGTCACAGATTTTATCCCCCAGAAACCTCCACCTGAACATGATTATGAAGTTAACGTTCACTGTAAAGCATTCTAGATAAAGCTGTCATTTTAAAAAGGTCTTAGCAAATACGTGATCCCAGTGCCATGAATTATGTGGAAAACAGAAATTAAGTTGCTTTGTTTTAAGGGTCAAAATGAAGATAAAGATCTGTCCAGGCTGCAGGTGGTTTAATTGTCAACCCTTCAAAACAGTTCAATACAGACTTTTACAAGGAGAATTTCCATTTAAAATTTCAGTTTAATCAAAGACTGAGATTCATCTGACAAACCAGTTTGTCCTATAATTTATGCACTGATGCTTTTGTCAGAATTAAAAAAATAAAGCCCAATTCAATATCTTATCACCTGGTGGACCATTTACTTACTGTAGAAATAGTTCCATCTAGTGGACTAAGTTATTACTTTCATCACAATATTACTCCCCAAACATTGGAAAAATCAGGAACTGCAGGTGCAAAAAACTGTGTTTATTTTTTTAAAGCAATACAAATACATGATCATACATCTGTGTTAATAAATAGTGAATATTGTGATTATTATACAAATAATTTAGGTGGAAATAATTTAAATTAAGTGTGCATCATTTTTAAAAGTGTTTTTCACTTTGAAGTGTACTCGTGCAAATTAACATCGCGTGTCTTTTCTACAGGTTCCTGCAGAGAGAGAGGGAAAAAATAAAAATACATAGCACAAAATGTTAAGTGCAAGAAAGCAGACTTGCTACATCCTCTTTCTATATTCATGATGAAAAGTCAGCATACCATTCTTGATCTAGAGTAGCTGCAGTGTCATGACATTTGGTCCCTGTATTTGTGCACATTAGTCTATCAAATTTCTGCTTTTCAGGCTGCCCTTCTGTGCAAGTCTTGATTTAAAATACTTATGTTACAGGTGATTTTAAAGTACAACATTTTTTTTTTTTTTTTTTTTTTTTTTAAGTGAACAGCAAACCTTGTGATTCTTGTGTTTATTCAAGTGTTGTGATTTGGCTTCATTCTTGGAGCCATCGGTTATCGGGGTTAGTCATCGCTGCTTTCCATGACTTCTCTGTCGGATGAGAAGTTATAGAGTGGCAAAGACAGGCACAGTTACACAAAAGCATGTTAAGTGTTAATTCTCCTGATCATGAAAACATTTGCTTACCGGTTTGCCACCTGTGCGTCTGGTAAATCTGATCCATGTTCCTCCATTTGTCCTGCAGGGAAACGGGCACGGCACAGTTCTCATCCATTTCTCGGATGGTGTTGCGTGGGGGCAGTGGTGCATCCTCTCCCATGCACCAGACTGACGATGTGGCTCATTACACACACAGTTCTTTTCTCTCAGCTTGGGGTACATTGCTGTAGGACATTTCTCCAAGTTTTGCTTTGAGGCCAGGGGCTCTTGAGATCGCGAGCTTCCTGAGATTATCAGCTGCCCTCCATTTCGGCCTTGTGCGCCATGAGCTGTTCTCAGACGATTCTCCCTCAGTCGTGTCCATGACGGCGGCCACCACGGACATCAGGACTGGAACTTGTCTCATCAGTCGGTGTGGTGTGAGATTTACAGGCTTCACATGTTGGTAAGAGCCCATCATTCCACTGTTGGAAAGCTTTTCTTTTTAAGGTCTGAGCATCGAGTCCGGGCTGGCAGATGTACAGATCCTGCGTTTTGCCTGACATCCGGCGCAAAGTCTCTTCTTGGACCATAAGGGCTAAACGCATTCTCATTGAAATTTCTACTAACGCAGCATTCATGGTCAGAGAGGCTTCGTCGA